TCCTCCTCCTCCTCCTCCTCCTCCTTCACCTTTCGAGGCGCGCTCGAGCGGACCGCTCGCATGGAGGTGGGCCCGTGAAGTCTGCGGCTTCCCCTCTGCCTCGAAGACGAAGCCAGGACGAGAATACAATCGGGTGAGGATAAACATCGAGAATCTTCGAGATCCGGCGGTTCTGAGGGAAGTATCGGGCGCCGAGGCCTTCTCGGAGCGTCATGGAACGCTATGAGAGCGTTCTGGAACGCTCCAGAACGGATTCGTCCTCGTCCTGGCCCCGTCCGAGCCTCGTCCTCAAGTGTGATAGCAACAACTCTCGTGATTGTGCATGTTTTGTATCACACTTGAGCCCAGTATTGTTGGCACTGCAGCTCAAGATTGCACATGATTTACACGAGTTGCTGCAGGTGTGCAGGTATGCATGAAGGCCTCGTTGCGTGAATGTGTTGCGAACCGTAGCCGCCGAGGCTCGAATCTAGAAGGCGCACGGAGGGTCCTAGAGCCGGGCGTAAAAATTGCGCAACCACCGCTTGAGAGCTCTTTGGTACCATCGCCTCGTCCTCGCCCTCCTCCCCAGGCACGGCCAGGGCGCGGGATCGGAAGGCAAGAATGAAGGGGCCCCAGGACACACAAATAGATACACACAAATAAAACTATTCCCCATATTTTCCCATATTTTCTGGGTTTCTGTCTTCCCCCCCACTTCCCATATTTTCCCATCTTTTCTGAGGAGTCGAAAATTCATTTTGTCTGTGTGTTGTTTCCTCTCCTGAGAGAAGGGGGGAGGGCAGCTCGGCCTCTGGTCGCCGCGGGCAGGGCATCAGGACGGGGAGAGCATGACCCACACCACCGCCCCCGTGCGTGTGGGTGTGTTTGGAGGGCGAGGGCCCTCGAACAGCTCGGCCCCATCCACCGTAAGACGAAGCCCAGAGACGAGGCTGACGTCGGGTGGTGTGAAATCGAGGATCTCTGGGCTCCGGGAGCTCTGGAGGATGCCTCGCGGGCGCCGCGGCCGTCCCAGAGCGGCAGGCTCTGGAGGGGACGGATTCTCGTCCTGGCCCCGCCCGCGTCAGTCCCACCCACTGGACAATTCTGCGTCGCCGCGCCTTCCTCCTCCTCCTCCTCCTCCTCCTCCTCCTCCTCCTCCTCCTCCTCCTGCTCCTCCTCCTCCCCCTCCTCCTCCCCCTCCTCCTCCTCCTCCTCCTCCTCCTCCTCCTCCTCCTCCCCCCTCCTCCTCTTCCTCCTCCAAGGAGACCAGAAACGGCCGCCGGGTGTCAACATCGAACGCGCGGCGCTACGGCCAGCAGTGTGGCCGAGGCCGAGGCCGAAGCGCAGGTCGAGCCTGAGCCTTGAGGCGCAGAGGTGCCATCTGACAAACTGGCCCGTTGTCAGATGACACTACTTCCCCGGACCCCTGGCGTGACGTCGACCCCCAGAGGTCTCGACCCATTCCCCGGGTGTAATTTTCGTCCCCACCACCCGTCTTGGATATTCATGACACGAAAACTGGGCGAGGGCTGCTAAAACCGTGGCTGCTAAAACGGCCCCCCCGAAAAGAAAAAACAACTTCCCGGAATGAGGCGCGGCACGCGGCACAGTCAATGGGCTTCTTCCCAGAAGCACGAAGACAACTCTTCCCGGAGGTCGAGTTCAGCAGCCACGGATTTCGCAGCCCTTGCCCGGCTTCCGAATGACTCTCCAGGGGTCTGGGACCCCTCGAGGCTCAGCCTCAGCCTTGCGCAGCTTCCGACTCGGCCTGGGCCACAGCGCCAGCCCTCACCCCACCAGGGAGAGGGGTGGGTCGCGGGGCGGGTCGCCGGTCGCGGCGCGGCGCGCGGACAAGTTGCAGGGCGACTCACGGGCAGGTGGCGTGGTGGGCCGCGGGCAGGTCGCGGGGGCGACGACGACAAGGCAGCAGCAAGAATCCGCACCGTGGGGTTCCTGGCTAGCGAGGCGCCCAGGGACAGAATGATCCCGGTCGTCCCCGTCGCTCTGACGTGGTTTCGAGGAGAGACACTCTTCCCCAGGCGACCAGCAGCCAACCAAGAACCATGAGGACACCATGCTCACACACGCCCACCGTCCGTCACAAAAGCGCAAGGCGCACTCTGCTCCACATTTGGAGCATGCGCGACCAACCCAGTGCGGCTGCCCCCCACCTTCCCCGTCAAAAAGCAATCCAAAGTACACTGTGGGGCAAAGTCTTGAGTCATGTGCATGAGGCCCGCGAGCACTTCGTATTGTTTTCGACAGGGACGGCGCGGGTGTCAGAATGTTGCCTGCTGTGCGCAGGGCTACCATCCCTAACCAAAAAACAATATAACATGCATCTCGCACTAAATCTGGATCATGCGCGGTCACCCCGTGATCACTGTCAAGTGTTTTTTTGACAGGGACGGCGGCGGTGGTTGCGTATGTCCTGCTGTGTGCAGCCCCACCAGACACAATGATGGGTATTGGTTTTCTACAAGGATGGTGCGGGCCGACATGTTTCCCGATGTGTGCTGTCACGTGCGCAGGCGCACTTGACACACTCTGCACGTGCCCCGAACGTGGCACACCTGGCGCGGCTGGAGTATGTGGCGCATCTGGCGCACCAGGCGTGCCTGGCACGTTCGCCCCAGGGGTGCATGGCGCGCGTGGCGTACGTGGCACGCGTGGCGCACCTCGCCCCAGCGTCGCGCACGTGGGGTCGGTGTTGGTTCCCAGAGCTGGGAAAGAGCTAGACGGCTTGCTATCTGGGGGGTGCCTTGACCCCCGTTCCCCCCCCCTGGGACTGGAGGAGATGGTTCGCGAGGCGTTAGAGCGTCCAAGATGGCCTCAGCGAGGAAGCCAACATCACTGTTTCCACTACGATTTTGGCAACGTTTTGGCATCCTGGGGGGGCTTATGTACTACGGCCCCTCCTTGGGCTGATCTCCTTCAAGATGACCCAAGATGGCCCCCAAGGATGGCCCATGACGGCCCCAAGAGGTGCCCAGGCGGCCCCCCAGGATGCCCCAAAGAGGCTACCAAGAGATCCCCAAGAGACCCTCCAGAAACGCCCACAACGTCCCACGAATTTTCAGCGGGAAAAATTAGCATCACTGTTGCTACTAATGGTTTGGCAACATGTTGGCTTCCAGGGAGGGGGGCGAATTGACGAGCCTCCCATCTGTTGATCGATCTCCTCCCAGATGGCCCCACGATGGCAACGGAGGCTGCCCCAAGACGGCCTGAAGAGGTGCCCACGAGGCCCCCCAAAGGCCCCGAAGATCACACCCAGAAGGATCCCAAGAGACCCCCAAGAGGCAAGCGCCAGACGCCCCGAGATGCTCCCTTGAAGCACCCAAGACACCTCGAGAGGCACCCGAAACGGCGATGAGACCGTCAGGAAACCCCAAAAGGACTCCAAGAAGCTCTCGGGAGATATCCCAAGAGACTCCGAGAGGCATACAAGGAGGCTTCTGGTCTTTATGCTCCTCCTCCTCCTCCTCCTCCTCCCCCTCCTCTTCCTCATCCGCCTGCTCCTCCTCCGTCCTCCTCCCTCCTCCCCCTCCCCCTCTCCATACTCCTCCTTCTCCTTCTCCTCCTCCTCCTCCTCCTGCTTCTGCTCCTCCGATTCCTCCTCCATCCTCCCCCTCTCAGGGATATGTAGCACCCCGCAATTGCGGATAAGAGTGAGGGGGCGGGCGCGGGCGACGCGGGCGTCGTCGAGCCGGCGGACCTCGTGGCCCCACCTTCCCTGTCGATGGCGCTATCCTCCTCCTCCTCCTCCTCCTCCTCCTCCTCTCTCCCTCCTCCTCCTCCTCCTCCTCTCCTCCTCCTATTCTTCGTCTCGTCCTCGTCGTCATCGTAATTTCCTCCCTTCCTCCACCTCGTCCTCCTCCTCCCTCCTCCTCCTCCTCTCCTCCTCGTCCTCCCTCTCCCCCCTCGTCCTTCCATCATCGTCCTCCCAATTGTCGTCCTCCCCCTCATCGGCCTCCATGATGGTTCTCCCATTGTCGCCCATCATCATCATCATATCATCATCATCATCATCATCATCATCATCATCATCATCATCATATCATAATCATCATCATCATCATCATCATCATCCCTCTCCTCCCCCCTCCTCCCCCCCTCCTCGTCCTCCTACCCCTCCTCCCCCTTTCCCCCCTCCCCCTCCTCCCCCTCCTCGTCCTCCTCCTCCTCCTCCTCATCCTCTTTCTCCACATTCTCCTTACATCCTCTCTTCGTCCGCGTCCTCCTCGTCCCCTGTTTACTCCTCCTGCCTCCCCCATCCTTCTCCCAAGATAAAGGCAACGAAATAATTTTTTCCCACTTTATGCTCCCCGACTTCTCTGATCAAGGCAACTCGCAAGGGCAAAGTTGCTGGACGGGCTGGTGTGAATGCGCGGGGCTTGAAGAGGTCGTTGCGGGCTCAGACGGCATGCAACAATCCGCCGCCGCGCCTGTGCGGCATTGGTTTGTTCAATGAACGTGGTTTGGGTCGCGGGTGGGTCGCGGGCTCTCCACCTCCACCTGGGAGGAATGCAAACGCAGCCCGCCGCAGGCGCCGAAAAATTTGGTTTGTACACTGAACGTGGTTTGGGTCGCGGGTGGGCCGCGGGTTCCCCACCGGGAACGAATGCAAAAGATGCACGCCGCAGGCGCCGAAACATTTGGTTTGTACCCTGAACGTGGTCGCGGGTGGGCTGCGGGCTTTCCACCTGAAACGATTGCAACAGATGCCCGCCGCAGGCACCGAAAAATGTGGTTTGTACCCTGAACGTGGTTTGGGTCGCGGGTTGGTCGCGAGTTGGTCGCGGGCTCTCCACCTGGAAGGAACGCAAAAGATGCCCGCCGCAGGCGCCGAACGTGGTTTGGGTCGAAAATGGGTCGCAGGTGGGTCGCGGGGTGGGTCGCGGGTGGGTCGCGGGTGGGTCGCGGGTGGGTCGCGGGTGGGTCGCGGGTGGGTCGCGGGGCACCGGGCGGGTGGCGAGTCGGGGTTGGCGGGGCGTCGCGGGGTGGGTCGCGGGGTGGGCGGGGTGGGTCGCGGGGTGGGCGGGGGTCGCGCGGTCGCGGGTGGGTCGCGGGTGGGTCG